AGGATGCTCTTTGGATACGCCACTGGATAAAGTCTGACCAATTTCATCTAATTCGTACACGCCACTGTCGCTAGGACCAAGGTCTATTTTGTTTGCAAACAAATGCTCTTGCGTTGGCTTCAAACCGGTATACGGGCGAACATAGGCGATGCGGCTTCTATATATACAATATCTTTGGAATTACCACTGAGACGACGGAGACTGTCAAGTGCGTGAATAGAGCGCCAGGTGTGAAACCCGGCCGAGGTGCGATTTCCGCACGTGGCGGGGTGTCCAGTAGGGGGCATCGTGCAGGTGCTCGTTCAGCACCACGGGAGAATAGAGGAAGAGGAAAGTCTTGCGCTGGAGTGAGAGGGGCCGGTGGGACGGCTGCTCCATCCCAAGCGAGAGGTAAGTAGCGGAAACTACTCAGCATAGTGGATTAAGTATTAACTGTTCCCAGGTAAACCTGCAGCACGCTAGGGCGGCTACGTCTGTCCTTAGCAGAACCTGGATGAGTGGGCGAATTGATATTGCCCTCATCCAGGAACCATGGCTCCCCAATACCGGGCGCATCAGCAGACTCGGTAATTTATCCGGTAAGTTATTTTGCTCAGGGGATAGACCCAGAGCCTGCTTACTTATCAGGAACAACATCAATGCTTTTTAATCTCAGAGCATAGCGACCGCGATTGTGTGGCTGCGGTTCTGAGAATCCAAGGTGAGAAGGGCTGGACAGAAATTGTCATCTGCTCGGCATACTTCCCCGGAACGGATAGTGATCTTCCCCCGGCCGAGGTGCGATTTCCGCTGTCCAGTAGGGGGCGTCGTGTAGGTGCTCGTTCAGCAACACGGGAGAATATAGGAAGAGGAAAGTCCTCGACTCCTGCCCGAAGCTCGAGAGGGGCCGGTGGGCCGGCTACTCCATCCCAAGCGAAAAGTAAGTAGGGGAAACTACTCAGCATAGTGGATAAATCTATTAACTGTTTCCAGGTAAACCTGCAGCACGCTAGGGCTGCTACGGCTATCCTTAGCAGAACCTGGATGAGTGAGCGAATTGATATTGCCCTCATCTAGGAACCATGGCTAACCAATACCGGGCGCATCAGTGGACTCGGTAAGTTACTCTGCTCAGGGAATAGACCCAGAGCCTGTTTACTTATCAGAAACAACATCAATGCTTTTTAATCTCAGAGCATAGCGACCGCGATTGTGTGGCTGCGGTTCTGAGAATCCAAGGTGAGAAGGGCTGGACAGAAATTGTCATCTGCTCAGCATACTTCCCCGGAACGGATAGTGACCTTCCCCGGCCGCTGTGCGAGACATAATTGCCTACAGCCGGAGGAATAACCTACAAGTTGTTGGATGTGACGCCAATGCCAACCACACAATTTGGGCAAGCACCAACACACATGAAAGAGGTGAGTTGCTTTTTGACTACCTACTACGGGAGGCTTACGTTAGTAATGTAGGCGCCAAACCAATCTTTGTTACCAGAAATAGAGCAGAGGTACTTGCCATTACGTTCAGCTCAATTATATTAAGCTCTAAGATAACCTCATGGAGGGAATCGTCGTGTTCAGATCATAGACATATTCAATTTAAAATTGACCTAGGGATGAAATCGGACTATACGTCCCCGTGGCACTAATTGGGATCTGTTTAAGAGTTGCCTTGCAGATAACCTAACTAGTGTCATCGCAACCGTTAGGAACTGTGATCAGGTTGAAATAGCAACTCCGGTTCAGTCCTGAAAGAGTTAGTATATACTAATTCAAGAATACTATTAATTACCTAAACTACAGAACTTTTTGGCTGAAAGTGAAGCATGGCAATCTCTCTTCAGGTTGGATACTTTCGTATAACCTAAGAGTGTCAAAAAAGATGCTAATTTAAAAATTCCTGGAAGCCGTATTTATTGAAATTAAGAAATAAAACTTGTTTTAAATTAAAGCTCAAAGCTTTTTCTTTAAAATGATGTATAATAATTGTTGGGTTGCATTGGAAAAATATTGAGAAAAAAAATGTTGAAATAAAACTTACATTTTCGAATAACCTATAAGTGTCAAAAAAGATGCAAATTTAAAAATTCCTGGAAGCCGTATTTATTGAAATTAACGAATAAAACTTATTTTAAAATCAAGCTTAAAGCTTTCTCTTTAAAATGATGTATAATAATTGTTAGGTTGGATTGGAAAAATATAGAGAAAAAAAATGTTGAAACAAAACTTACATTTTCGAATAACCTAAAAGTGTCAAAAAAGATGCTAATTTAAAAATTCCTGGAAGCCGTATTTATTGAAATTAAGGAATAAAACTTATTTTAAATTAAAGCTCAGAGCATTCTCTTTAAAATGATGTATAATAATTGTTGGGTTGGATTGGAAAAATATAGAGAAAAAAAATGTTGAAACAAAACTTACATTTTCGTATAACCTAAGAGTGTCAAAAAAGATGCTAATTTAAAAATTCCTGGAAGCCGTATTTATTGAAATTAAGGAATAAAACTTAATTTAAATTAAAGCTCAAAGCTTTCTCTTTAAAATGATGTATAATAATTGTTGGGTTGGCTTGGAAAAATATATAGAAAAAAAATGTTGAAACAAAACTTACATTTTCGAATAACCTAAAAGTGTCAAAAAAGATGCTAATTTAAAAATTCCTGAAAGCCATATTTATTGAAATTAAGGAATAAAACTTATTTTAAATTCAACCTCAAAGCTTTCTCTTTAAGATTATGTATAATAATTGTTGGTATATACTTTTTTAGATTGCACTATTCGCATAGTTTTGAAATTTTAAATTTTGAAAACGAATTCAGAAGTCGGCAAATCTTTGTGAATGAAATGCTTCGACACTGAATGAAATTTTGTTTGAATAGGTTTAAGATTAAGAAAAGTTTCTCTCAAACTTGTTAGTGAAGGTGTTGTCCCTATGTTATGTTGAGAGGTTATGAAGAATTCTTCTGGTAGGCGTAATGGCTGTCCATAGACTAGTTCAGCGGGGGAGCAACCGAGATCTTCCTTTAAACAGGATCTTAAACCCAGTAAAATTACAGGAAGATTGTTGTTCCACCTATAACTGAATCCTTTGGCAGTGATGGCATTTTGAGGGTCTTGTGGAACCTTTCCAAAATGCCTTTGCTCTGGTGTGGATCTGTTGAGATCCCAATAACTTATTGAATTGCCGAAAGAGATGGGATTCGAATTGTTGACCTCTATCATGCGAGATGGTATGACACCCAATCTCGAAAAATATTGATTAAATAGGGTTGAAGTTATGGTTTCAGATGTTGTATCTGAAATCGGATAGGATTCTGGCCATCTAGTAAATCTGTCTATTACTGTAAGGATGTAGGAACAACCCATTGATGTAGGTAAAGGACTTTTGTGTAACGATGCACCTTGGCCTTTTGGTTATGTTAAAAATCTTCATACCAAAGATCTGAATTAGAATTTGTTATTCTACTTTTAGAAAGATGGTATCGTTTGTTATGGCTTAATTGTTTATCAGTAAGATGTTTCAACTCTATATCTGAATCTTGTGCCTCTTTTATTGCTGATTCTGGAGGATATTCAGAATTCAAACAAGTTATATTGACTCTAGAAAGAGTGTCCGAAACAACGTTATGTTTTCCTTTCACATAATTAATTTGGGATAAATTCTGCAATGTAGTTAATATATCTTGTCTGTCTAGGTGATTTCTCTGATTTTGAAAAGAATGACTTTTGTTAATTTTTTTTTGAATTGAAACCCTTGATTTTTCAGTAAATGATGAGTTGAATTTACACCAACTCCCTTGGCAATACGAAAATGAAAGTTGCAAATTCCGAAATTGTTGTCACTTCTTGAAGGACTTTTAGAAGTAGACCTTGAGCGAAAATTCGAATGTTGCTTAATAATGGTACAATCACAACTACTGTCAAAATTGTTGTGGTTATNAAAGCAGTATTTAGTCTCCACAAAGCAATTTTAGTCTTTAGAAAGTAGTATTTAGTGTTCCAGATGCTGTATTTAGACCTGTCGGCAGTATCTAGTCTTCAGAAAGCAGTATTTAATCTTCCACGGTAGTATCTAGTCTTCAGAAAGCAGTATTTAGTTTTTTAGAAGCATTAGATCTTTTTGAAGCCTCTTGTTATCTATACGGATCTTGTACCACCCGGTACCTCATTTCTGCAGCTGTTACTTTGCTTTTGTGCTTGGCAAGACGCATTGGTGGACGCAATTGGCAAAGTTTCCGTATTGGTGATTTCCTGTCCTGTGCAATAACAAGACAAGTCCATTGGTTTCTTGTTCATATAATCAATTTTTTGTTTTCTCTGAACAGTAATTTCAGACTTCATGTGAACTTTGAACAATGTAATTCCTGTTTTTTGCTGAAGTCTAGTTTATAACTNTGAAACCCTTGATTTTTCAGTAAATGATGAGTTGAATTTACACCAACTCCCTTGGCAATACGAAAATGAAAGTTGCAAATTCCGAAATTGTTGTCACTTCTTGAAGGACTTTTAGAAGTAGACCTTGAGCGAAAATTCGAATGTTGCTTAATAATGATACAACAACGACTACTGTCAAAATTGTTGTGGTTATTAAGTTTTTCGTTAATTGACGCAATATGTGCATCCACAACAGAAAAATGTAGAAAATATATTTTGACATTTTGTTCTGAAATTGTCAAATGCCTTTAATACATCATTCAAGGTTGTTTGTTGTAAACACTATCTAGCGGATAATTACCATGGTTACAGCGGTTTTAAGCGCTCTCATTGGCTAAGGGCCGGTTGTACCACCTCCCGATAAACTATCTAGCGGATAATTACCATGGTTACAGCGATTTTAAGCGCTCTCATTGGCTAAGTGCGCCAATTTATCTATGGGATAAACTTATCGGGAGATGGTACAACCGGCCCTAAGGCCCGTTACTACCAAACCAATGCTATCTATCAGTTAAGCTATCTATAAGATACAATTTATCTCGTAGATAACAGGGTCGTGCGTACTACCACCTCAATTTATCTCATAGTTAAGAAATCTTTGAGATAATCAAGGAATCTAGGGATTTTTTGGTCTATTATATTAAATTGACAGCTCTATATGGTCAAAAAACCTACTATTAGGTATTTTGACGATATTCTAACCTGTTCTAACCTTAAAATTAAAATTTGGAGACTGAGAAAATGCGACGAAACACCAATTTCATCAAAGAAGAATCTCGTATTATTGTATGTTAAAATGTGATGGTAAACAATAATGGCACAACTAACATGATGAACGACTGAAGATGCCAATTGTACACTCACTCCTGCAAAATCTGCTATGGATAGCAACATGTTACCTATTGCATAAAACCGAAGAGTCAGCAACAAACGGTTTGAAGGAGGTACAGTCGTGTTCACTGGAAATGCGCACTCAAGGTCAAGCGCTGTTGTGAGATCCGACATGCCGCTGCCTAAACGGGTTGAGCCGA